ATATTTTAAGTTCTGAGAAAACATAGGGAAAATATTAAATGTGAGTATGAATAAACAGTTATAACTTCCCAATATGGTTCCCTTTTTGTTATAAAAAAGGGAACATAAATATTCAGAGCTAATTGAAATATTACATATATACTAATATCGTGAACTACCTTTATACAGTTATCAAGTCATTTATTAGACATAGTAAAGGGTACTCAAATTACTACCTCTCCTTTCCTTTTCTTCTCTCTGGCAGATATAACTAAGTATAACTAAAGAGTAAAGACGACACAATTAAGAGATAGGAAAATGTGCTTAATTTCAGAATGACTATGTTAAATGTATCTTTATGCATGCCTAATAATATTTCATGCCTGGAATGATCCATATTTCAGAGAGGATATTGAGAATCAAACTTCAGTAACAATGTCAGAATTATAGTATATATTTATTTAGCAGTTTTAAAACTGGTGAAAGAAAATTGCCTGATATATATAACTAAATGCTTAGATAATTAAACCATCTAATATTTTTTCATACCCTTGACTTTTTATTAGACGTATAAGCTTTGGAGTTGCTGAATATTTGGCGAACATCCTTATAAAATTCCAGAGGACTACCATAGTTTCCTGCTTCCAAAGTTTCTTTTACAGTGCTGAAGTCCATAGGAGTGTCTATAACATCTTGATAATCCTACAAAGAATAATGTGTTATTAACTACCCAAACTGCATAACAATACTAAATAATATAATGGGACCGAGATTTGCATCACCATCTGATACAATCCACCATAAAATGAATACATTGCTTTTCAATCTGCCAACTACCTTCCCCCCCAACCCCAAACAATCTTTTGGTGTCTCGTAAACACAGCAAGGGTCTGTGGGAGTCTTTGGGAGAGCCTTAGCCCTCACACAGCCATCACTAACCATAAAGAACTCTGAAGAGACAGAAGAAAAAATCCATAGCCACTGGCTTCATCTCTACAGAGTCCATAATATGGAATTCCATTTCTTGCTTAAAGGCTGATACAACCTGCAAAACCCTGGCAAACCACTTAATGAGAGTAGAAAATTGGATTATTCACATATAATTAAATAGCTTCATTATACAAATTAACTACATATTTCCAAGATTTCCAGCTATGAGAACATTCTACTTAAAGTGTCATTTGAAGTCAAAGTCAAATGGGTTATGTTTGTGCTTCTCTCGTTTTTGTGTTTTAATCAATGTTATACTTTTGCTTTGTGTAAGGTCTTCCATCTCATAGGTCCAGAATTAGATTTTAATTAGCAAGATTCCATTTTAACCTAAATCTTTCCAGTCTAGTTAATATTTTCCTAGAGTTATCATATGGAATTATATCTGAAATTTATAACTATATATGCTATAACCCTCAATAAATAAGTTTCAGAGTGAGAAGTATATTCAGTATTAAATCCCTTATCTTATTTAGAATCATTAAAAAGTAAAATCTCTACATTTCCTTCAAAGACTAAGCCAAAAAAAAACAAAAAACAGGAGAAGGGGCAGAGAAAAGAGATTACAAAAAGAGAAAAAATATTTTTGAAAATATGAGAAATCACTATTGCTCCAAATAGATCTTATTTTCTTAAATCACAGAAAACCAAAAGTGTATTCTAACACAGTATAGCTTATGAAACATTAAGATTTTCATGGAGGAAAAACGTTGGAATCTGTATAATATGATGTCCAAAACTCAAAAGACTCAGCCTGCCTACTGAACAAAGTTCCAGTAGGAATCATCTGCTGCAACAGAGACATGATTATATTGTGTAACTGATATTTTCTAGTCTGCAGCAGCTTTAGATCTACATAAACAAATAAAGATTCATGAGGATGCCACAAAGAACAATCCTGAGAACACATGTTGATTAAAAACTAAATGACCAAGAAAAATGAAATAAAGGTAAAAAGAAAATGAGTAGAGTCAGAAGGCAGCTTTAACAAATTACGAAAGGTTGATGTACAGTATGGAGACTTTTAAATAAAAACAGAAAAAACCAGTATGTCTTTTCCATTAAAAAAAATGGTGAACTACTTCTTGTGTTATCCTGCATGGAGCTGGAGCCCATTCTTCTAAGTATCACAACAATGGAAAAATCAACACCACATGTACTCACCATTAAATTGGTACTAATTGATCAACATATATGCACATACAGAGGTAACATTCATCGGGTATCGGGCAGGTAGGGGGAAGAGGGGATGAGTAAATTCACACCTAACAGGTGCGGTGCCTGCTCTCTGGGGGATGGGCACACTTGTAGCTGTGACTCTGGCAGTGCAAAGGCAATTTATGTAACCAAAGTGTTTGTACCCCTGTGATATTCTGAAATAGAAAAAAGAGAGACTACCAGGCCTACCTCAGAAAGAGATGGATCTTGTCTTTCTGCAACAACTGACTCTGAGGATTCCCCATCTTGCTCTTGATGGCCCTATTAGGGTAAAAAGCATATATTGTGTTTCTAGACCACCACAACAAAATATCAAGACTTGCAATACTATTATGACTTAAGGCTCAAAGATCCATAAATAGGAATTATGCTTTTATTCGCTGTACTTTAAGGTGAAAGAATTCTATATTCACCACTCTCCTCTGCTACAAAAAACATAGGACTAATTTTTTCTACTCGAACTCCCTATAAACAAACAAAACAAGCTCTGTTGAACATAATCTTTTTCCTTATTTGAATATTTTTCTCGACTGAGACCTGTGTATACAGAGAAGAATATTTATGTATATTAAGCTCAGACGATGGTCTGATATATTTCTGAAATACTGCTGTACCTTTTCTCTGAAAAAGTTAAAATAGACTTGCTATCTATACTAAAGGGTAATTAAATATATAAATAGTTATGCTCATAGAAAAGGAATCATATAATCTAAGTTCTCTTGCATTTATCTTTGTTGAAAAGAAAAGTAATACTGGTATGTTGGTTACTTTGTGTGACCATATTGATAACATATTTAGTATAAATTAAATAGGACTGACATATGTCACCAAGTGTCTACAATGTATAGAAGTACATTAGAAGTTAGTAAAATGTATTAAACAAATGAATGAAATAAAATCAAGAAGAAATAGCAAAGAAATTTTGATTAGAATTTGGTTTCCAACTGAATAATTTACACGCTGAGTACATGCCAAGCATTTTAAAAGGTCATAACTAATCATGCCACTCACTTTCACAATTCAAAGAGTGGGAGAGAGGAAGGGAGGGAGAGGAAAAATTGCTCTTAACTAGACTTTAGTATGGACACTTATGGGAAATTATCATCCTGGCAATTATTTAAACAACTGTATGCTTACTGGGTAAAAAAGAGGATCAGCTGGCTGTCGGAATGGCTCTGAGTCTTCACGTTCATAAATGAGGCTCAACAGTTCTTTGCATTGTTTTTTCCAAGCATCAGGATTACACTTTAAAGACTGTCTTCTGCCTCGGCATTTGACCTATAGATTTTAATAGAATTATATCAAAAAGCTCTTCTCTGAAACTCTTTATTGATTTTCTCATGTATCCCTAATGTTAATATATCTGCATAAGATAGAGCAGCTGCTATTTTAAAGTGCTTTTTCCTTCTACAAGGTTAATATTTATATTGCCTTAATATTTGCTGGTAGTTAAGTATACTTGACAATGGCACAATAATGTCCTCCAAACAACAGTTGAACAATTTTTTTTTAATGAAATCCTTTGTGGTCATGATAAGTTCTATTCTTTATCATTTGGTGTCTTTTGTTAGGGTCTCTTCCAGTATTTCAAAAGATATTGTTCCTTATATAAAACAACTATGTCTAATTATTATAGAGGAAAAGCCTGCAGAAAAGAGTTAACATAACAGGCCTGAGTCCTATCATTATCAGGGTTTTCCTATAAGGCTGGCCCTTGGCTGACATTTGGAAACTTTGAACTTGAAAGGTTACCTAAATTATAAAGACAGTTTACTGTACCTAGACTTGAACCTAGATGGTATAAATAACGTAATTTGTGCTGAATGCCTGCTTTCCTTCTGAGAGCCTGGAATCTTGGTATGCATCAGTCAGAAGGTACCTACATAACCAACCCCCAATAAAATCTTTGGGAATTGAGTCTCTACACACACGTTTGCTACATTTTCATTGCTGGGGGAAGAGGGTGAGATGTGACCCCTTACAAGAGAAAGAGAGAGCATAAAGAAGCCTACATGTGGATTCCTCCAGACTCTGCCTGTGTCTTCTTCCCTGTGATTCAGCTGTGTACCCTTACTGTGTTGCTGTAATAAATCTTAGCCATGAGTATAACTATATACTTAGTTCGAAGAGTCCTTCCAGCAACTCTCCAAACATAGAGTTGGTCTTAGGGATCCCCCAACACAAGAAACCCAAAAATGTTTCTTCTCAACAGTTCATTTGTTTACTCACCCTTCTTCCAGATGAAGTACCAGGACCATCTGAATCTAAATCAACCATTTCTGTATCCTAAATTAAAAGGGAAGAGTAGGAGAAGATGCTAAGTTACATACAAAGTCTTTCAAGTTAGATAGACATTTACAAATAAACGGAAAATATAATCACGATTAACTTTCCCTCATTGGAGCAGGCAGCAGAGAGACTCACTCCAAACTTTCCCAGTATGCTGTGTACAAGCTGGAAAATATACTGGAAGAAGAAGAGTTAAACAAAGTTTCTCTTTAGATCAGAATAGGAAACTAAGGAAAAGGTGCAGTGATTGGTATCTGCTAAAGTTGTACTTAAGTATTAGTAATTTTTAAAAACCTTATTCTATATGACATGCTTATTTAGTATACTATAATTATTAATTATTCATGATTAATCCTTTCCTATTACAAAGAATAGATCTCTTTTCTAAAAGGAAAATATACATGCGTATTATAACCTAAGATACAATTAAATCTCTTTCTGAGGGACAATTTTTTAATTCAAAGAATCAAGGCCCAGGCATCACCGATGATGGTGAAGCACCTAGATAATGCCTAGGAGAAAAGAAAAGTAGCTCATGAGCTACTGGTACTCCTTTCTAATAAAATAAAGCTGTTAAACTACATTTTTACTTAAATTTTCTATTTTAACCCAAATAATCCTACTCTGAGGAGAAATTCTTGCTAAATTAAATCCTAAGTTAAAATACATTTATGTGAAAGGTCAGAGAAAATACAAGGAATATATAAGAAAATATAAGGAATATGAATTATAAATTTTTCTTAGGTTTCAAGAGGCTAATATCTAGTCAGTATGCTGTATTTATTATTATGTATATAACATTTAACTCCAATAATATAAAATACTTATAACATTGCATAGTCAGACACATTTTCATGAAAGAATAAAAACAACATTGAAGACTTACCATTCTGGAGATTATCAGTATAAATAATATGAATATACAAAATATCTTATGCTACTGCAAAAGAATCTAGCATATCTGATTCAATTATCCCTGGGATGAATTTTTTTCCGGTAAAGATTTTTGAATTATCACTTTCCATTATTATTCCATACTCTTATCTTGGTATTTGCTTCTATTATAACCTCCAGTGCAGTATGGCTTTATGTAGATTAGAAACATAGATGGGTGAGGAAATCAGGTATGTGAGAGTCTGCTGAGAGTACTAATTCCATTTTCATTCAGAAGAGACTGGTTTATGTTTGCAATTTCCATAAAAGAAATGAAGTAGCAATTCCATGAAACTACTAAAAATTAACTTTCAAACCTGTAATTTTAAAATTCTTTAATATTTTACATACAATGTATAGAAAGTAAAATACTTAATGAAATTTCCATCAACTAACCATTTTAGTTATTTTTTGTTTTTTTCCCCATTTATGTTTTATACATATTATGTATATTCATGGGGTACCAATGTAATTCTGTCACATTGACATATTGCACTGTGGTGAAATTGGGGCCCTCCATGCATTTATCACTGAAGCAACACACATCGTACATTCTATTAAAATATCGAGTGCTTTGGCCCCATGCATATATCACTGAAGCAACACACATTATATATTCTATTAAAATATTGAGTGCTTTTTCTTATTTTTAAGGGATAGAAAATAAAAGTGTTGAATTCTTATTACTGAAACCCACTGAGTAAAATAGGATGACTGGCCACCTGTCTCTGACTAAACCCTGTAACACTACTATATTGTTGGTATATACAATCTAAGGACAGGTTAAAGAGTTTAATATAAACAGATGCAAGCATTCAGCCAGCTTTCAAAAACCTTTTTTGTTGCTTATAGCCAATTACAACATTTACACATAACATTTACTGTACTTCAAATAACAGAAAAGGAATTCATTCCTATTAATCATGCTGTGATTCTTACCTCCTCTGCATCAGTACTGTTTAGTTCTTCTGCTTTAATTTTATTATAAGTATCTAGTATATCAGTACAGCTCTGATCCCTAAGAAACAAGATATGTCATTTCAATAATTTCAGTAATAATGTTTAATAATGTTTAAAAATAATTTTTAAAAAATCAGAAGTTAGCCTCTGTGGAAGTTAAAACTGCTTCTTACCCAATAAATCGAAGTAAGACATCAGTTACAATTTTTGCTGCTTTAACTATAGGGCTGTCTGGCTCATTAAAAGTCCTGGCATTATGCTCAATGTAGCGTACCTCCCACATTAATGCTGATATTCTCCTATGAAAGAAAAAATACCCTACGTTAGCCTTGGCTGATACATTTAAAGTATATTCTAGGACTATACAATATAGAACTACTAGGCACTTAATCACAGTATGTCAAAGGTGTTCCAATATATGTACGTAACTCAATATATATGTGTGACTTATGTGCACTAAAAAGGGATGATATAGTTACAGTATTTGAAGCACAGGCCGGAATTCTGAACCACTGGACTATACATTAAAACTTGGAATAGAACTGACTTAGGACATTATGGGTAGAATGATGATAAAAAACCAAATAAACAAAAATAAATAAACAAAAAAAGTATTTTGATAAAATCAAAAGAATGTATAATTTAGCTTTCAGGGGAAGAGCCAAGAAGAACAAGAAAAAAAGACTAGATTGTAGAAAATGACAGATTTTTATCTAGTTATTTTTGATATATATTATTTAATCAAATAATATATAATGTTATAAAAATGCCTCCAATTCTCAATTACAAGGGGCAGATTAACTAGTTCATGGAATACCGTGTTTAGTAGTAGACTCAGATGAGAGAGGGACCAAGAGGTGCCCTCCACAGTCCTCCAATAATCATCTCCCTCCCAACCAAGGAAAAAATAACTTAGCTTTTTTCCTATGTACATTTTAGGGCTGGCAATTAAATCTAATTAACTACTGCCTAATTCCCAACAGGCGATTTAAATATATTCCAAATCTGTCACACCTTAATCATGATGAATCCACAAACCACTTAATCTGTCCTTAATAAAGTAAAGTTAGCTATAGTTTTTGTTTCACAAAGGATTTGTGCTACCCGTATTTTCCTCTCTGCCTTTCTTCCCTACCTCCTTTTTTACCCTGGAAGAGTGAGAATATTCTGAATAAAGGGAAATTAGTGCTCCAAATTTTTAGAAGAAATTTTGGTGTAGGTCTTTTGGATGGTAATTTTATACTATAAAAACACAGATTTCAAAAAGGAAAGCAAAAGCCATAAAATTATAAATTTTATAATAAATGATAAAACTAAACAGACCTGTAAAAGCGATTTTCAAGCCTCCGCCTGATGGTGTTGAGGTCAGTCGGATAAGCAACTACAGTACAATACAAGGGGTAGGCACTGAGATCCACCGGAACAGCAAAAGGGCTGGCAAAATCTAAAGAATTACCAAAATCAAAAAAGGTAGCTATAAAGGATATTAACATTTCATGTGAACAAATAATAATCAACATATAAACAAGAAGGGAAGGCAATATACTACATTTCTAAAACAATGATGATTCAATTATACAAACAGAATGTTCTTTTTATT